CCACGTCAAAAATCACTTCTCTCGTGGCTTCCCTATTCTCTGCTGCACAGTCACTTTTCCTGCTGTCAGCCCTTCCAATGTCCCTCTGTTTCCTGAGCCAGCTCTTGATGTTCCTTTAGCTTGTAGGCCTGTAACTTCATTCCAAAAGGGCCTTGTGTTATTTGTTGAACCACTTATTTGACTAATGTGACCTCAATGTTCCCTTAGTACCTGGCACCACGACACTGACACTGGAGATGTGTTACATACCCCAGCATCAGCGGCTTCCTCGCACCAGGTGGCTGCTGTAATGTGCTTTCTGGTGTCCTCATTTCAAACTAGGATTTCAGCTCTTCTCTTCTGGCATCTGTGAGGAAGAATGAGACACTTCAGGGGCTAATGGGCCTTACATGTGAAGCATGACAGCTCCTGTAACTCAGGATTCTGTTATCCAAGAGCCTCACGTGACTGTCTACATTCCACTGGCCATCTTGCAGTGCTACTCCTAAATCAAATAAGATTTTAAAATCCCAGTGGCTGACTTTGGGCTACAATCACATAAGCTTGTCCTTAGCATTGATCCCTTACACTTGCTCTGCCTAAAGCAGACAATTTCTGCAGCATAAGCAGCAAGAGATTTCCTCCCTGCAGCCACCCTTCCATTCCTCAGTGCAGGAAATCATAAACACTCCTCTATCTCCCAGCCCCTGCCAGCATTCCACCACAGCACAGCAACATCAACACCCAGGGTGACTGACACATACCTGCCTGGGATAAACATAAGGGGTGGAAATGCTTTGGGAATAGAAGATAAAAGCCCTCCCACTGCCCACCAAGACTGGCATAAAAGGTGAAGAATGTGTGTCCTGTGGAGAGCACTGTGCTGGTGGCCCAGCACGTTTTAGAGGGCTCTGGAGGGCTGCACGTGCCATGTTTGCACACCCCATCCTGGCACCTCCTGTCTCCTCACTCTGCCTGTAGGTCAGCCTGGATCCCAGTGCCACTTCCAAGTGAGTTTGTCTCCCCTCCCATACAGAAGCCTCCTCCTCTGGATGCAGTAACCCTGTGCTATTTGATTCCTGACTTGTGGGCACCTCGCAGAGCAGCCCAGGAACTGCTGGAAGGTCTCTACAGTGGCAGCTTGGTCATTGTCCTCCCATCACACTCCTGTATGCACCAGAGCCAGAATTTCCCCATTCCTTGCTGGAACCAGGCAGCAGAGCACTCCAGACCCAAGCATCCCTGACCCAGTGGGACACAGACATGGGGACAGGTCCCTGCACGTGTCCCTGTCCTGGCAAGAGACAGACAGACTCTTGCTCACAGCACAAAGCCAGTCTGAGTCCTGAAGCCCATGGCCAGAGCAATGACCAGGAACAAGCTGGCACAGGACTAGCAGAGGTGACAGGAACACCTGAGCTGTCCAAGACAGTGACAGCAAAGGCCTCCTTTGCCCAAGTGCAGCTGGCAGCCTCTCCCTGAGGCACACAGCAGCTACAGGGCAGGGAATGGCTTCTTCATGTTCCATCTGCAGCTAATTCTGCTGATTCCTGCTTTCCCCATCAATTCCTCCACCTTTCCCATGGTTTGCCAACCTGCCATCTCCGGAGCAGCAGGTGGGAGGGCCCAGCTCCATGGGACAGGGCTCCTCAGCCTTCCTGTGCGACTCCTGCAGCCCCTTGGCCACAGTCCCACTTTGCTCCCACTGCAGGGACAGCTCAGGCAGAGCCTTCCTCATCTGCTGCTTAACATGGGCCACCTGAACCTTTCCATGAGCTCCTCAGAATGCTCCAGAGGGTTTCTGTAAACCTGAGATCAGGCAGATGTGCAGCCCAAAGATGGCTGTAGCCGGAGCCTTGTGGGCAAATGCATTTCATAATAGTTTTCAGAAGTGCCTTTTTGGAAGGTGTCACATTCCAGACCCAGGATGGTGCAAAATCACTCTGTGAAGGGACCATCCTTTCACTCAGCACATTTGCATTTGTCCTACTTCTATTCCTGTAGACATAAAACTCATCAAATTCCTCCTCTCTGATATGCAGTACCACCCTTCCCAGGATGCTATACCACAGTATTTGAGAAGAATATGTCAGGACTACACAGAAAATATTTTAAGATCCTACCCTGCGTCAGGAACTCCCCCAAACTCACGTCTGTTCTGATTTCACTTTACCCCAAATCACCTGGACAATCAAAACAAGAGACAAAATATGAACACGAACAATACCTGTTTTATTTTACAGCTTCTCTGTACAATTTTTTTAAAAGTAAGATAAAATTACACCAAAACCCAAAACTTCAGGCTCTTATGCCTTCAATGAGCAGTGACCAGCTAGTGCTGCCTACAGCTGGCACAGCCCAGCAGCCAGTCTGAGCTCTGTCTCACCCTGATATATATTTACCATGAGACTTCAGAAATCACTAACAGCAGAGCAAAAAGCTGCAGCTGCAGTGGCTTGTGCTGAATTTCACAACCTTTGAGCAGTTGAACAGGTGGGTTAGTGGTCGCCACAAGCTGTGAGGACCCAGGGACTCTTGCAGGAAGTGTTGCAGATCCTGAGAGCCCCCCAAGAACACAGATGGCCAGTGGTGTCCTGTCCCCTGCCTCCAGAGCAGCAACAGGACAGGGCTCATGCCCTCTCCAGGACAGAGCCTCATCACTGGTCTAGCTTAGTGCAAGGGTGGCATTAGGTCACTTCCTGATGGCTCCTCACAGCAGCCACCCTGCACAGTGTCAGGAGCTGCAGGCTGCAGAGGTTTTTCTGTATGTGTGTCCTAGGGAGCTTGTAAAGTCATTCCCCTCACTAGGAGCAATCATTGAAGATTTCTAACCAGCCAAGATTGGTGGATTTCTCTAGCCCCACTGTTTTGGGTAAATGGTATTTGTCACAGCTGGACAACATCTGTGACATGTGATGGCTGCACCAGTCCTACCCAGTTCTTACAGGATAACAAACATGGGACTCAGGCTGTTGTGTCCAGCCTACTCCATTCCTCTCCTCCCCACAGAAGTGTTCAGTGGAAATGCCTGGGAAGGCAGCAACAACCCCAGCTGCTGCTGCCTGAGGCAGTGCTCAGGAATGGCACCTCCAGGACACGTCTCTGTTCCACACAAACCTCCCAAAGCAGGAGTGTGACCTCCTCCAAGCCTGTAGCCAAAAGGCCTGGGGCAGCACAGGGCTGGAGCTCCTCTGCCCTGGAGAGCCAGGAGAGCAGGAGCAGGGGTCCTGGGCTCGGATACCAGGGAGATGCCAAGGCCATGCTTCAAAAAACATCTCTGAGGGGACACACAGATCCAGAGTAAACCTCTTGTACTATTAGAGGTTTCTGCATGTGCCAAGCAATCAGATCCCAGGTGAAGAACCTTCCCATACTTCTACAAATAAAAGGACAGCTAGAGCATCCAGCCCACTGAGTCACAGAAAACTAAAGCACAGTTGAGCTGTAGTTCAACACACTGGGAGAGGAGATCCTTGCCTGCAGGGCCTGGCTTGGGCAGCTCTTCAGGCACAGCCTCCAGCTGGGCTTTGCCTGAAACAGGGGCCTCCCTGCCTTTAGCACATCAAACCTACATATGAATATATTCATTTCTGTTTGGGCAGATCCCACAGCAGCCACTCAGCCTGCTGCAGTCAGAGGTCATACTTTCATCCTCTGGAAAAACACTTATTTTTGCTAATAAGCAATTAATAAAGAAAAAAAAAACTCAAGCAGTAGCCCCAGCAGGAATTTACTCTGGGGCTGGGAAGCAGCTCCCCTGCATGCCAACCCCCCACAGCAGCAGGAACAGGTACACAGGGTGTATGAAATCATTCCCACATTGCACAAGGAAGATGAGGGCAATTGCATACTTAAATCATGAATCCCCAATTATTTTAGTGCCCTCAAGGGGCCTCAGGATCTCAAATCTGATTAGAGACACTTGCTGCCCCACAGGAGGTGGCTCCAGTTTGCACAGGGGTGCAAGGAGCCAGGAAATCCCCAGACTGGAGGTTCCCAAAGCAAAAGGCAGCCAGGGCACAGATTTCACAGAATTTCAGCATGAAGATCTCCCTTGAAGGCTCTGAAAGGTTTGATGTGGGAGGGAGCTCAGTGACAGAACTCAGATGTGGGAGGCATTGACAGGAGCCATGGCAGACAGATAATGAGGCAGATCATCACAGCAGACCATACTCAGGTAGAAGAGCTGTCACATGGATGTGGTGGTTTCACAGAGGGGGTGCTGGGGGTTCACTGAAGTTCAGGACCACATCTGAGCAGGGCCCAGTGACACCCAGCTCCACCCAGGTAAGGGGAAGCCATGGAGGAAGGGTGCAGGCTGTGTGCCTGGAAAGCAGATGTGGTCCCACTTCCCCCCTTGCATCACAGCACGTGCCCTAAAAAATGCACAACACACTCCAAATCTCCAAAAGCCTTCCTCATCCAGGAGAGCCCCAGAGCTCCTGTACCACATACAGTCAGTTTGGGTTGGGCTGGAAGTGGTTTGGGTTGGAAAGGACCTTAAAGATCATCTCATTCCACTCCTTTCCATGGGCAGGGACACCTTTCACTGTTCCAGGCTGCTCCAAGCCCTGTCCAACCTGGCCTTGGGCACTGCCAGGGATGGGGCAGCCACAGCTGCTCTGGGCAGCCTGTGCCAGGGCCTCACTACCCTCACAGTGAAAATGTAACATTTTCTCTCCAGTGGTCCATCTAACCCTGCCCTCTAGCAATGGGAAGCCATTCCTCTCCATCCTGTCCCTCCAGACCCCTGTCCAAAGTCCCTTTCAGCTCTCCTGGAGCCCCTTTAGGCCCTGGAAGAGGCTCTAAGGTCTCCCTGGAGCCTTCTCCAGGTTGAACAGCCCCAGCTCTTCCAGCTTGTCTCCACAGCACAGGCGCTCCAGCCCTCAGAGCATCCCTGTGGCTTCCTCTGTGTTCCCTCCTCACCCAATCCAGCCCATCTCTGGAACAGTCCCTAAGGGATGGGTAGAGTGGTCTCTAGTAACTACCACTAAAACCTGAGGTGTGTAAAGCTCTGGGGAGGTCATGACCAAAGAGATTTTATTACTTTCCATGTTTTGAAAGACTCTGTAGGAAATCCATTTCATCATAAAGCAAAAAGAAGCTGCACAGAGAGAAAATACAGGAAAAAGCATCAGAAGTCAAAAGTGCAAACAGTAAAGTCTAAGGCAGAAACCAAGCATAAGTTTTTGGAGCACTGGGAGTAATCACAAGGCACATGTTTAAATTAGATCACAGCTGACAGTTCATGACATTATCAACACAAAACCAATCATTGTCACCTGCTGTCCTTTAGTTTAACATATTTACATCAGTTGTAGGTGGGTCAGGTTCCTCCAAGCCACCCATGCCAAAGGAAACTTTGTATTTTCCTGGTACATCCCCAGATCACAATGGGATAACAAGCTAATTTGTAGCTTTCCAGGCACATCTTCCACAGTCACCCCAAAATCATCAGCACCGACACAGCCAACTCGCAGGGACCCAGGCTGCCAACAGCATTGGTTCCTGCAGTCTGACCTGTGGGGTTCAGAGCAGCAGAGCTCAGGAGAAAGGATTAGTAACAAATGTATACTGCAGAGTTGTCCAATTCCATTCCAAAGCCCATCTTGGATGAAGGGCAGGCCCAGGAATGCAAAAAGCACCAAAATTATCACCAAGGCTGCTGCAGTTGTCTGAAACATTTGTTTCTGGAGCTGCAGGTCTGTTTCCCAGTACTGTCCTGCCTTTGTGATGTCCCCATTCCCAATGCTGCAGCCCAGGCTACATCTGCCACTGCAGATGACAGCATCAACATTTGCACACTATATTACAATTCAGTCTACTGCCAAATTTTTCTGATTTCCTTATAAAAATAAAATTCAAATATTGGCCTTTGGTTGTTTTCTAGTCAATCTTAACAAACAAAATTATGAGTCAATGAGTGCACAAGCTAGCCTGCATTTCTTTAAGCATTATCTCTAATGCACCTGCCTCATCCAAGGATATTTCAGATAACCAAAATATTAAAAAAAAAAAATAAATCTGATTTTTAATTTGAACTCCAGCAGGTGGCAATAAAATCACCTGTAAAGAGCTGCCTGTTCATTTTTAAAATGCGAGAACTGCATGCCATGAAGAATTTTGTCTATGGCTGATCAAGTTAAATTGTCGCGGGCAAAAAAAAAAAAGATAAAATGCTGAGAATGTAACTCTGTTCTAGCTCTCCTGGAGCCCCTTTAAGCACTGGAAAGGGCTCTGAGGTCTCCCCCAAACCTTCTCCAGGTGAACACCCCCAGCTCTCCCAGCCTGGCTCCAGAACAGAGGGGCCTGAGCCCTCAGAGCATCTCCATGGCCTCTTCTGGACTCTGTCCAGCAGCTCCTTGTCCTCCTTGTGCTGGGGACCTCACAGAGGGGATGCAGCACTGCAGGTGGGCTCTCACACAAATACAACTTACACACAAGATTCATTTTGAAATTCACAGGTGCCTTTGGAAAAAACAGTAATTCACACAATCAAACACAAACATAAAGCAAGTTTATTCCTGTTCTGGTGGACTTGCAGGGCTGGGGATGGCTCCTCATCTGTAGCCAATGATTCCTTCAGGTCAGTCCTAGCTGAAAAGTGTCTCTTCTCTCCCAGTGAAAGTGATTTGCTTGGTTATTCACAGGATAAACTTTTTCAATAACAGGAGACATTCACTGAATTTTGATTGAATGTAACATCACACCACCCTGTTCCCGGGGGCAAGCTGCCTGCCAGCAGGCCACACCAGGGCCTGTGCTCAGGGACTGCCACCACAATGTGCCAAAATCAGATATTCCAGAAGATTTTGTTTCTTTGAGGAGGGTTAGAGCTGAATCAAACATCAAAACTTTTGGATTTTAAGTTGCCAAACATGTTTGTGTTTGGGTGTTTTTTTAAGTTGCCAAACAGATTTCTTATAGGATTAACTCTAATTCTATTTTCATGGCCAAGTCTCCAAAATAACCTTATGCCAGCTTCTTAATTTACACTTCTGTAGTAGCTGTTGTTAGGAAACGTACATTCCTGCTATTCAGCAAGATCACTACAATGCTGCATGTAAAAAGGATTAAGCATAGGAAAAAAGAGTGTCTTTCTGAGGGATTCTGGTAATGTCTGCCCAGCTGAACAGAAAAACAAAGTCAAACTGATCTCTACGACATGCCAGAACACTGCTATAGAAAAAAAGGGATTTTGAAGCCAATATATACATGCACACAAGTTTTCACCTCTTGAAACCCGATCTGCATGGACACACAGGCTACCTTCCATCCTCCCTGGAAAGAACCAAATGGAGGAATATTGAAAACACACCATTGGGTGCATTCTACTCTCTTCTCAGTCCTCCTTTGAAATACAAGCTAGCAAGCCAGGATGAAGCCAAACTCTTGGTACTCATGTAAGCACAAGGTAGTTCACCTTCATGTGGCTGAAGTTTCCCCACAGGACTTGGCACTTCACAGGAACAAAAGCCCAAAATCACAACTTCCCATTTGTTTCACCATCATCACCCAAACCAACATACAGAATTAATTTTTCTTCATGGGAAATTTCTTTGATTTTGCTTACATGTTTTTTCTGTATGATCTTAAACAGCCAAGATAATACTCAAAACAGAGAAACTACTAGCAAAGGTCTTGTGTGGGTACAGCAGCTTCAAATAAGGTTTTTATTCAAAGGAAGCAGTTATGAGTTTCTCTTCTCCTCCCTGCATGATCCAAAGAAAACATCAGAAGGATGTACCTAACACATGGGAACTTGGACCCTTGGAAATCATTCACAAAGCAAAGACTTCAAAAGATGTTTATTTAGGAAAACCAGACATTACAAGAGGGCCAAACAGATTGTACAAGGCACGTGCAGTTTCTGGTACAATGCAGAGAACAAGAAAAGTCTACAAAACAGGTAACACACCCACCTGAACTGCTACCATGGGCACATCAATGCTCAAGTCACTTGCCATGAAAGGCAGATCCTGGGGTCCTTCAGGCAGCCAGCCAATCCCTGGGGTATTTCACATTTCCTGCAGAAGTACAGATTGCACACAGAGCTTTAATGACAATTAAAACAAAATCACTGCTCAGGAATTCCTACCTCCAAGTTGGGGCATCAATATACTGTATCTCATAAAATTTTATTTCTTTGTTTTCATTGAAGGTCATGTAGATTTCATATTCTTATAATGCATTTTTCCTCACAAATAATAAAACCTTGCTGTCTACACGATTATGCCCAGCAAAGCATATCTGAGACTGTTTGCTTTGTTAGCTAAGGAAGAGATCCAGATTTAATTACCAGTCAAAACAAGGTAATTCAGATGTATTGACAGGCAAGTCCCTTATATCCCATAGCAGAGAACTGAGATCTATATTACCTAATGCTTTTATTAGGCTTTAGAACAAACATGTCCTAAACTCGACCAAACCCAGGAATTCTTGTCTTTAAAGCACAGCTAATAGCAACCACCAATCCCCCATCATAGAGTGGAGAGCAAAACTCACTGAGCTCAGCAGAGAAAAGTGAGCATGACCAGCTCAATAGCCTCTAGCAACAAGTGCAACATTAACCCTAGTTCTCAATCAGGAAAATGAATAGGAAAAATATCTCATTGAACACATTGGTAAATTTGCATCTGTGTCTCTATCTAAAAGGACAAATAAATACTGAAAGAATGGTAAAAATCTAATTCTCAAATTAGTCTCTTCTTCTCCCCATATAATATATAATAAATGTCATTTGCCATTTTGTAATAGTTTTAGCAGCTGTCTGATCAACCTGACAGATGTCCATAGATCCAACATCTGTCTATAAACTTTAAGGATTGCACCAGAAAAAACAAAACCAAAACAGATTAACTATCCAGAGCTTGGTTGTCAATCCCTTCACCCCCAGCTCCAAACTTACCTTCTCTGTTGCAACACAGCTCATGGATATGCTATAAATAAAGACAAACATTTCAATCAAAACTGAAATTAATAAATGGAGAAAACCACAGCTAAGACACACAGCACCTAAGCCCTCCTCAGACACGTCAGACCATCAGGACCAGATAGGAGTACCTGCCACCAGAGTGCACACTTCAAGTCCATGCTTTAGTGCCCATCACAGTGTCTATCCTTCATCATCTAAAAACAGACCAGAAATAATGGCATTTCAAAGAGGAGAAAGTTATTAAAACAAAGAGCACAGATCCTGCAATCCTACCCCATGGAAAAGAGAGAGCTGGCATTCAGCAGATACAAAATCAGCAAACATGAATAAAATGGAATTGACAATCTCAGGAAAGGCTCTTCGTGGTGAATAATTTGAGATTGCTAGGTAGTAATATTAATACGCAAATACTTAATCAACTCTCACACACACTGTTTACAGAACTGTAGTGAGCATGAGCAGGTGTTACACCATCCTCCTGCATCTCTATAAAGCCAAAGGAAAGTGAAGCAAAGTCATCTATTTCACATGCCACCAGACACCCCAAGTTACTGAGGGAGACTGTTTTTTTTCCAAAATAAGCTACAACTCTTTGCATCGATTATCTGTAAGCCAAAACTTAGGACTGCATCTGGAAACAAGAATGCAGGTGATCCCCTGAGCTACTGCTTCAGCTCACTAAAGGAAATGTGACAGACTGACAGAGCTGATTTCAGCTATTTTTACACTTCAGTTTTTGAATACCAGTTTGGAGGTTTGGTCCATGGTAAGTAATGAATATCCATGTTTCTTGACTTTAGCAGTAAGTCTTTCTTCTTTTTAATTCTGTTTCTCCTGCTATATTTTAGCTGCTTCTCTTAAGCATGAGGAATAAAAAGAAATCCTAGCTATTGTGGAACAGTTCATCATCTTTTCCAAACTGGCCATTAAGGAGAAACTGTTCAGAGATGGATCAACCTGAACATCCTGCAGATGTAATAAAAAGCAAGTCATTTCACTAACATCTGCTCAGGCAATTCATAACATTGTGCAGCAGTGACACTAACTGGTGTTTGCTTACTTGTTTTTTAAGAAAAGGTGATTTAAATTCCTAAATGACTTCTGATGTACTCATGTGAATGATGAATAAGCAGGCTGCAAGATTTGTGTTGCAAGTGTAAGTGATGATACCTGTTAAGGTGCCACCAGCAAGGTGCTACTGCAGGAGGCAGTGCAACACCACACTCCCCAAGAGCATTTTCTAAGACTAACAGCCAAAAGCCATGAATACAAAACAGCCAATTCCAGAGAAACTAGAGATTTTAAGATTCAAGAACTGTGATAACAATATTGTATTTCTCTAAGAAATGAATGAAGCCTGAAGAGATCAAGAGGCATAAGCTAAGCCAGGCTGATGATCCAGCCCAGGCCAGAGATCAAAGAACCCAGGAGAAAATCACTTGCCTCAAATGAATTCAACCAACAAGTAACTGTTCCAAGAGCTGCGAAGGCTGATGGGGTCCTGCCATCAGTGTGCAGATATAAAGCTCTAAAGCTCACTCAAACCAAGCTGACTTCTCACCTAAAACTCTTGGGTTACAAGATACGCAATTTCTATCAGAAAGGGCTCAAAGAGCAAAACCACAGAGCAAAACCACAAATCCAAAAAAGGCTTGATCTCATCAATAATGATCTCATTACCTCCGGTAATGCTCTGGAAGATGGAAACTCTTCCAACTCAGCAGTGCCAGGAAGGCAGTACTAGAGATGGGAACACCTCAATGGAATGGGAAGGTTTTCAGAGTCAATGAAGCAGAATCACCTCTAAGAACATCTTAAACATCACCTAATACTGCCACACCTCAGACATTACCCTGGACTCTGACTCCCTATTCATGGACAAAACCTGCCAAAATGAACAAAAAAACCTGAAAATATTTTACTTACTGTAAATGTAAGCCAAGTAGGAGGCTGGAAGACCAAGCCTTGAAGAGCCATCATGAAAAGGGGAAAAGGTCCAAGCCCAAAGAGAAAGGGTCACACATGAAGTGGAAACATAGATAAGCACAGACCTCCATGGCTAAACATATAAAAACTGAAAAACTGCAGGCAAGCTACACTTTGTGTTTGGATTTTGGCAAGACCAGGAACTTCTCTAAGAGAAACTGGAAAGGATGCAGGTGTATGGGGCCTGACACCTTTGTGACCAAAGAGAGAGAGGCTGCAGGCACAGTCAAGCACAACAACAGGAAGGTTTGAGCAAGGAAAAGGTGCACCAAAGCCTTACCTCTCTCCAGCTCCCATGGGCTGCCCTCCTTCAGCCAGGTCATGCAGCTCTGTGCTGCTCTTCAATGGACAAAACACAACTGTTTGGTTCAATTCTTTTCCCAACCCAAATCACACATGAAAAAAGCAGGCATTGAGCTCCACCTCTGAGAACACAATTGATTTTTATCCTCCTTCGTCTCTCTTGTTGTGTCAGTGTCACAAATATTCCACTTTGCAAAGCAGCAGGTACCTGAGAAGGCACTGAGTCATGTGACACTCAAAAAGTTTTCAGACAAATATAATGAGCAGCTACACAAACATTTCTGTATCTCACCTCTACTAAAAGCTCATTAAAACCCAGCTTCCTAATTGCTTCAATTTAAAATATAGAAAACCAGGAAGATGTGAAATTGTTTTTCTTTTTTTTTTTTCCCTTCTTAAACATTTGCAAGGAGTTCTAAAATGTGAGGTAAATATGAGCCAAGCCTTCTGACCCTGCTGACTACTGGTGCATGATGAACCAGAAGAGATTGAGAGGGAGAAAGCCTAAGTCCAGGAAATGTAGAAAACACCTAGAAAAGGAAAAATATTCAAAAAAGTAATAAATATTGAAAATATACTAGGCAGCCATATAATTTTCTGTCCAACATCTCTATTTGTAAGTTATTTCTTCTTCTTCTTCCCTTTTTTTTTTTTTTATTTTTTTCCCCCACTGTAAGGTTGCAAAGGGGCACTGAGAAGCCATCTACTGGTATGCCCAAATTCCTTCAGTCCATATTCAGATGAAATTTATTTGCAACACTGTAAGAAGCAATTATAAATACTTCAAACACAAGTTTTGCCTGAGCAGTTTCAATTCAAAAACCACTGGGCTAAAAATAAACTCGATTTAAGTAGTGGAGCACATATTGATTATTCCAGGTATTATTCTAACGAGTTTAAGAGCATGGTACCCTGCCCAAGAATCCAGGATGTGATTGATACTTGTGCTCTAGTAATCCCTTTCCACTTGTTTCCTGTTCTGCCAGCAGCTGCATCAGTCAAGGCAGTGAAGAGCAGCACTGCCCTGTAGGCTACAACCCAGAACACTGCCACAGGCCAAGAATCACCTACAGGGAAATAGCAATTTTGCTAGTTTTTTGTAAATTTAAAAGTATATCCAGGCTCCAACTGATTTCATACTGTGCCACAGATTTAGTATCCTAGTGTGTGTGCAGAGGCTATAATACCAGGTGGCATAAATGAAGTCCTGAAATCCTCTCAGGAAAGCCACCAATCAAACTTCTCCACACATACAAGGAGAGGCAACTTACTAACTCAATTCATATGGCATCATGAATGTTCTTCAGGCATTATGAGACAAGAATGGAAGCTAAAACATTATTAGTAGATAAAAGGGTCTAGGCACTTGTGTACTAAGATATAAAAATGAGTTTTAACTTCTTCAGAGCCTGATTTCTGATTGCTGTTAATAATTATAGTTTGTAAAAGAGCTTATTTAGACACCTAATAGAAAACAAAAGTGTACATTTACACACCCATAGGCTTTTTCTTCTCCTTTCATTCTGCCAGCAGCCATCTTCTTACAGCCATAAGACACCTGCACTGGCTGAACTTTTTTAATGACAGGACTGAACCACAAGTGTAACAAGCAAATGAACATCTAATCACGCTTACATCTCAATTTTCATCAAGCAATCCTATCTCTGTACATAACTGCAATCATTCTCAGGCTCTTGGTAATAAAGTCTGATTGTGGTTTTTTTTCCTCACTAAAGGTTTTGTGGTCTCAGTTTGGAACGGAGAAGAATATTTTGTTAACACAAGCAGAGGCTCTGTGCATCAGAAAGCAGTCTGTCTTTGCTTGAAATCCACCTGGCTCTGCCAATCCCACGTTTCCTCCTGGAAGTCTTCTTACATATTTATACACTGCAGTTCCTCCATGCATAGGGGATTAATCAATTCAGGCATCATTATCTAATTTTCACCTACCAACACAGTACATGACAAAAGAGAATCAATGTGAATTATATACCCCACGTTTCTGTTACAACAAGAGCAAAGTTCACAGTCTCTATGGTCAGATCCAGCTCAGTATCTGAAAAACATGTATTTTTAAATTTAAAAAAAAGTTACACCAAACATCCTTGTGATGTGTCCTGCATTAATTAACTTATTACTAGAGGCTTTGCAAGAAATACACAATGGTTAAAAAGATGTAAAACACACAACTTCTTTGCATTTCAAGCTTGTAGGAGCTCAAACTGAAACAGCCACAGAAGACAGCACCAATATAATTTAGTGTTAGTACTTCCTACTCCTCTCCTGGCTACCCAGCCTACCCAGCAAGTTGCTACACTTTGGATTTGGATTTCATGCACTAGTGAAAAAGACTGCCTCTACTGGTCTAATGTACAACTGCTTTCCTAAATGTCTGATGTCCCCTCTTTTTCCCAAGGTCATTCTGTAGAAATACAGAGTAGAAAACTTTCTGAGCTAATTCACTTCCACCCTTTGTTCACATAAAAGCAACACTGAAAATAGCCTATTCTCAGCAGGAACTGCTCTGAAGATCGTATCTGCAGACACATGCTTTCAGTTGCACTTGACAGTTCAAACAAGAGAAGTCTATCAAAAAATAGACCAATTTTCTTCAGAATGCCAAAAAACTCTACCCCAAAGAAATAATCTTCATAGAAAGTCAGGATATCACACCTGAATCCCAAGAACTCAAATATATGGCCTTTGTATAATTAGAGAACAGAAATCAGAAATCAGAAAGGAATCAGTACAGAAAGTTCAAACAAGTGACAATTACTGAAGTTAAAGGAAAAAACATTCCAAGTGTTGCTTCTGAGAAGGATGATTACTCCCACCACAAAACTGGACTCTAAACTTTTATGTTAGAGTCTAGACTTTGCTGTAACAGAAAACAATCCATGCTTTTCATGTATTCCTGAAATGCAAATTTCCATTACTACTTATTCCTCAGTCAAAGAAGGGGTGGAGCTATCACAGCAATTAAGAGCTGAGCAACCTTGTTAGTGTTCCTACATATGTATAAACAAACACTCCGCCCACCCCACACTGCAAACATCTCATACAGAAAAATCCCAAAGAGCTACTCAAATACTTGCATATCTGTATCTCATTTAAACAACTTCTACTGATACAGTAGCACATTTGATGTTCTTTAGCTACTTCTATTTTAAACTTCAGCCTGCCTGCTAAAAGGATTTTTCAAGCTATTTCCAATGAAAGAAAAAAGATGACCTACATTGGTGGAGA